CGCTGGTGTTACTGCGCCGTCGGAGAAATGCAGAAATTTAGGAGAGAATACGTCACTGTTTATAACGTAGCATCACAGCTGACATTTTTCCAGTGTCCACTAATTTTGATCAGACAATTATGACATTGGACATGGGACAAATTTCCAGTGTTCAATGTCCAGTCTTCCCAACTTTGTACTGCATTTCCAACTGTTACAAGTCTTCATCAACTCTTTTCTTCTCACTCATGGCTACGTCTAAATCCTTGACTGTTTGAGAAAATTAAGGAATACTTTGATTGATTCATTCGTGAGTGCACTCAGAATCAGACTGTTAAAATTTTAATGTGTTCATTGAATATTGAGAGTTTGATCTCTGCCACTCAGTATGCTGGTAAGTTGGTTGAGTGTTGATTGCTAGAATTGTTATGGGATCCAAAATTATATCAATCATAAAGAACAAATATTTTGCAACACCATCATTAAATAACAACAATGTGAGTATTCTTACCAGATTCTCAATTTTAGTTTTTTTCAGTAATCTCGTCTTGCCATTTGTTCACATCACTCAAATTCGTTAATCTTATCATCAGTTCAAATGTTGTCACTTGTTTGTTCAAGTGTTGGCGTTTTGACATCAACTTTATTGAGGGGAGTTAATGTTTTGGATTTGTAATAGAATGTGGTGTATTGAGATTGGAATAATATGTCGTTATGACACCCACTTGTTGCTGCTGATGAGCAGTTGGAGAGAACAATCTTTGGGTATTTGGCAAACTTGGGGCATTGGTGAATTGAGGGGAGCTAATGTATTGGATTTGTAATAGAATGTGGTGTATTGAGATTGGAATAATATGTCATCATGACACCCACTTGTTGCTGTTGATGAGCAGTTGGAGAGAACGATCTTTGGGTAATTTGGTGAAGTATCCACATTATTAAATGATTCTGTTGATATATATTTGTCTTTGTGGAATTTTAAATCATATCTTGTTGCTGAGAATGCACGTCCTGTGTGGAGGTCAACATGCGTGTATCATCATGATGCAGATTAGTCGCTGTTCATAGCAACCATAAATACATTTTTGCCAAGACTTTTTGGTGGAGAATTGGGCACTTCTTTAGAATAAGGGGCTAAAGTTTGTTCATTGTTCGTGTTCATAGCAGTTAAAACGTTAAAATTGACAAGGGAACAAGTCTTTTTTATATTCGGATTTTAGTGCGTTTTCATCAGTACCTCCCCTGCCATATTTAGTAGTAGGTAGTTTGCCAAATCTGGCAATAGTTTGGGGGAGGTAATTTACCTCCTCTACCAAATTTAGTAACAAAATGTTACCAAATCTGGTACTGATTAGAGCACCCTATATCATGATAGGCTTGCGTCTTATGCCTGGCCCATTTGAGCTAGTCAATAATGATACTTCCCAAATGCAGTAGGGGAAGTAGCCAAATTTAGTAACTCGAAGCACTACCATATCTGGTAGGGGAGGTAACTGATGTCCTTTTAGCATAAGTGTAGATTAGTAACTAGCTTTGTGACGTATTAATATGTCATGAATATGTATTCTGATTAGTGGATATGGATGTTTTGATCATTTCCTTGAAGGTGAATTAATGTAGTAAAGCGTTGAAGTTTTCACCAGATCATTGAGTTTGCTAAACTACTACAATAGGTATGCCTGTACATGGGAATTTGGTGGGAATTTTTCCATGGCAAGTAAATAATCATTGATGCCAAAAAGGAAAGTAACATCTGGGAATATCCTGATCTGAATATACGCCGTGAAAAAGCAAGCTATCTGACACGGCTTCTGATGATATACCATCCACTTCAGTCTCGATACATCATTAGAAAATGAGATGGTCAAGCCTACACTGAGTACAGACTAATCTGCCAACGGAAACCGCTATTACGGTTCCATCAATTGCTTCTTCAGTTACGCGAAACACCTTTCAATGTAGATAATCCAAGTGGACAGACATTACATCGGCAACAACCCAGCTAAGATTCACTCAACCAAGCCTGACGGAACCCAAGCGCTCAATCTGAATGATGACTGGCGGACCAATGCTAAGGCAAGAGTGTTGTATAATGAAGTTGTCGCATCTAGGTCTAGAGGGTGAAGAAGTGCTGTTGCTGTTTATTTATGGAGTGGAGGATTTGAATCGAGAGATACGCTCATTTTGAATGTGAAGAATTTGACTTGGGCTATAGAGGTGAGTGTGCAGACGTCGTAATTGAAAGAGCAAGGCGCGGTGCAGTAAACGATTGGTGGTAATTATACATGGCTAAATTACGTATAGCATACTAATGTGGCATCCAATTATTTCTAAGTTTTATCTTGGCCAATTTGGTATAGTTATTTTTGAAACAACGTCTATATCACTAGTGGTAGATATAATCAATGGTACGCTTTTCCACGAAAAAAAAGTATGGGCATTTACGTTCCAACGAGGAATGATTTGATCCGAATCTTATGATAAAAACCATATACGACGGATACTTAACGATACGGTTTACATTAACTCGGGTAATCCGTCATCGCAGAAATTGGAGAGAGAGCGAGAGAGCGGTTACACGAAATGGGAGTATTAGTATAGTTTGGGTAGCTAAAATCGATTTCGTTTCCGAAAAATAGTCGACAATAACGCGAAGAAATTCGTCTGTTGGTCCGTGGACTCCATCTGTACAGTTACCTAACAGTGATGCTCTTATTGTAAGCTTACATTTATTTGTAATTATAATTTATCAACTTGTTGAGTCATTCGTTCTACCGTATTTTATTTCTAATTTCAAGACTTCCTGGAAAAACCAACAAAGTCGTCACTTAGCGCCTTCATCATGACGGAGAATTTGGATTGATAATAATAATGTCAGCAGCACAACAAACAACGTAGAAGTCGATCAGTTCCTAGCAGACCTCTTGCACCTAGCCAAGAAGACCCATTCCCAACCGGAGACGTGCAGTTGTACGTCTTGCTACGGTATCTGCTGGAATTGGAATGGCAGCGGCCCTAGTGATCGTAGGCGTGAGCGTATACACTAATTAAATAATATAAGAACAATGAGAGGGAGAAGAGGAGGGAGAAGAGCTGTGAATAGTGAACTCTTGCGCGGCTTATGGAAACATCATTGAAACGGATCCTCAGAGGCACACACGGTACCAATGATGTCAAATGTTGTTTTGACGTAATGCTCGCTGCATGTGTATGTCGTGTGGATGACAGCAATCGGGGAATCCATCGAGACTTATGGGGAGGGTGGATGGTAACGGGGGGAGATTTGAAGCGCCTGGTTTTCAGAGTGAGCGTTATTCGGTTGCGTCCGAGACAATTCAAGTATCCGACTCTCAAACATTCAGAACTTTACCTCGTACAATTAAGTAAACTCCACCCCTCCTTGCCATCGAAACTTATAAACGATCTCTATACTCAATATAAGGTAACGACTATTATGTTTAAATCTCCATTTATTACTTCGATTTCTCTATCATATTCATACAGGTACAGACTCAACGGGGCACCAGCATACTGTGGCAATAACTCTCTTCGTTGTGCAGAGGATGAGACTGTGAGTGAAGATGTCGCAATAAAGTTCTTTTGACAAATTTAATGCTAATTCCTTCCATTCTCAAACTATGACTCGTTCGAGCGCGAGATAGGTATCTTGGATCGCGAATTTCGCGACTTGTTCAATGCTACTGATTGGAAATACGTTATGATCATGGACTATTATATTATTCTATGAGCTTGGATACCTTTATCGTAAATCGACAGATATCGGGGATGAATTATACATAAAGATGGCAGTGAAATCGTTAGCACAAGCAATCCAGCATGCTCATAATCGCGGAATAGTGCGTCTGGATATTAAACCAGGAAATTTTGTACATGAGATGGAGACTGATTGATTTTGAGGTGGCAAGAGCCGATGGAGAATATATTGATAGTAGCACATTACGATATTCGTCACGTAAGTATTGAACAGTAATGATTTATAGTTTTGAGTCGTAAAATCGTAGCGTGCTAATTTTTGTTTTTTCCAACAGAGCCGAAGTAATCAACGTGTACTAGTATTATAGCAGATACATCAACGGATATGTAGTTGGGATGTATAATATACGAACTGTATACTGGAAGTCCCTCTTCTCCAATGAACAAGAGGCTACTTGAAGATGGCAGAAAGAGCTTCGCTACGGATTCTACACGTAAAATCACTGTTAGAAACACATTTAATGGATGATGAACAGGCACAAAACTATCGTACAGAAGATGGACACCGTTACGGAAAGGTATTCATTGTCTTATAAATAGATACATGATTCAAATCAACATAGTGAAATAGGCATTGCATTGCTGGTTTTGCGGGCGGGCTAACATACTCTTCCAATGGTATGATTATTTATTGTGTATCTTCAGTCAATATATCGACGGTGTTACTGTATCGAATTGCAAGGGAGTTGACTCCGCAACCGAACTTTTTAGTGTGATGTTGTTGGATGGAGATGTTGGAAGATTCTTGAAATAATGTTAGTGATCTCAAAGTCCGTGGATGGTTTTATTAGACATTTTGCTAAAAAGTCCTTTTTATTGAGCAAGATAATGCTCTTTTATAATACAAGTGAGTCTTGATATAACGATACTGCTATATAACGACATCTCGATATAACGACACTGCTATATAACGACACTGCTATTAACGACATCTCGTTATAACGACAAGAATCTTAAAACGAAAATTTTATATTGCTTAGTTGTCGTATGTAAATTAATTCTCGATATAGTGAGCGTGTCGAGACCCACTTGTAATACATATTTCTGTAACAATACAACTATGATGACATATGCATATATAATATAATAATATAAAAGCATGAACGTATTATGACATAACATTATCACTATTATAAAATAATTGTATTTTATTACATAAATAACACCTCCAGCAAAGGGACTGAAACTGATGTTGGATTGTTGTTGTCCTCAAGGAATAGGCGTTTTTGCTTGACGCGTTTTTCGTCTTTAGAATGAGGGACTGATGTTGGTTTGTTGTTCGCGTTCATAGCAGATAAAATGTTGTTGTGCTGGGCAAAAGTTGGTATTATTACGTAGCTCCAGCAAAGGGACTGATGTTGGTTCGTTGTTGTCCCCAAGGAATAAGCGTTTTCACTTGACGCGTAGTTGAATTATTGGTCGAAATTTAAAATCCCCTAAAGGACAAGCAGGACCAAAGTTGGTTCGTTGTTTACGGCCCATGCTTGTGCCGGGCAAAATTTGTTCTGCAAATGGTCTTAATGATGTGCTGGCATTAACTATTGTAGAAAGATTGGTTTAGTTAAATTGGGTGGACAGATTGATCGAAAGAGCATGAGGAAATGAAATGGTGACATAATGTACTAACCTACAACTTGCACAGCTTCTGAAAGGCATCGCATCATGACCTGCCCTGCTTTGTATTTTAGGGCAAATGGTATAGTAATAGACTCAAGAGACTAAGGAGAGACCAAATCATAAAATCAATCAAATTATTCTACACATAGATGCCTCTGACCCCCATGGACCAACTCACAATTACAAAATTCAGGTATATTCACCTTCACATTTGCGATTTTAGAGCAAAGCATTAACCTCTTGCTGCACTTCTAAAATGCCCGTTTGTGGTTTGGATCAAAGTGCAATCAAACGATAGCGCGCCTAATCTTCCTTGAAGAATATCAATCAACTTGCGGTGATAGCGTACTATCCAATTAAAGTATCTTTTTCACACGTGATCTCGTCAGTGATGATACGGGTATTTTTAGAAATGTTGCTTTAGTCGTGGATAAGGAAGACTGTATAAAAGTCATTGTTCGCTTTGTTCTTTGAAGAAGATAAAACGACGCGATGCGCTAAGCACTAAGAAATCTGGAATATTGGCTATGAGAAATCTAGAAAAGTGTGTAAGATACAGAAGGCGATCGATTTCGTAAAAACCCCGTTAGCTGTGCGATGACTAGGAAGAAGATGGTAATGCGCTATGTCTAATTGTTAGAACTATAACATGAGTATTCAAATAAACAATATTTATTAAGCATTTACAGTATTATATGTTAAAGTCTTGCTGTATGAATATCGTTATGTATGATACAAAAACGAGCTAACATATGCGTCTTAAGTGTAAGATGAAATAAAATAAGCAACACGGCCAGATGAAGGGGTTTTCTACACTGCACAACATTGCATCTTAGTTCAGTTTCCATAACAAAAATGAGCTAACATATGCGTCTTAAGTGTAAGGTGAGATAAACTAAGCAACACGACCAGATGAAGGGGGTTTCTACACTGCACAACATTGCATCTTAGTTCGGTTTCCATAACAAAAATGAGCTAGAATATGCGTATTAAGTGTAAGGTGAGATAAAATAAGCAACACGACCAGATGAAGGGGTTTTCTATCTTAGTTCAGTTTCCATAACAGTCTAAATTAAGTGTTTATGTATTAATTCCATGAATTTTAATAGTAAAAAATGTCCTAAAGTCTTGCATGTTCCAGCTTAACGGCGGACGCCAAACCACTCCAGTACGCAGCAAGGAAGTATTCCGTTTCGTATCCCCGAAGTATCCAGCAATCACCCGTGTCATTATCTGATCCGAATGCGTGTAGTCGAGGTAAGGTTTTTCACCACCATTTGTCGTGTATAAAAATTTGATATGGAGCTGATTAAAATCACGTGATTTTTTTTAGACCGACTCAGTCTTGCAAGCTCGGTCATGTCTCTACTGAGACTTTTCTGGGCCGTATAACCCGAATAGGGAAGAGGTTGTTTCGTGCAGTGTATTGTAGTAGGAGACAATTTTCAACAAGTTTAAGTATAATAAATGGCTACGTCTCCAAGTGGGGCGTCTTCAAGGAAGAAGAGGTTCTTGACTTAGCAAGGGTTTAAGTAATACGTGGGGGTGGGAAGGTTTATGTCGGTCAACGGATTTTCGTTCTCTTGTTGTTATGTTGCTTGCGTGCAGAACCTGAATTTTTTTTATCTAAAAACCTTGTCATTATATACCAATGTTACAAGCGAGTCACATGGACATTAATTTTAGAACGGTAGTACGGCGTTGCGCAATTTCAGTGTCAGGCGCAGAAACGT